GTTTCAATAATCCAAGAAGCCTATCTAGAAAGCTGTAAGATCAATAAACTTTCTCAGTAACTGTAAAAGTCTTTTACAATTGTTCCTGAGATGTTTTCAACTAACCAGATGCATCAAAAGTCACCATTCACAGAACTAAAAATACACCAATGTTATAACAACCAGCTTCTTATGATTCATAGTTCTGCTAACATTTTTAAGTCCCATGAAATATATTTAGCTTTGAACTTAATTGAAACTACCTTACACAAGAGTCTTTCATAATTTTTTATATCTTTCAGTCTGAGAAAATAATTTTGACCGAGCAAGTGGAAGAGTCCCTCTCTGCATCTTGCTATTATAACGTAGATGAAATAAAAATATTATTTCCCCTCCATTAAAAAGCAATAGAGCTCAAAAGTCTACCAACTGACATATCTGAACATTTTCCACTCCCTTACAAAAGATGAGAAATCACATCAGACAGGAAACACATTCTTTAGATTAGTGGCAGGTGTAGAACACACACACCAGTCAGCCTTTATTTTCAGTGTCAGCAGGCATGCTCAGCGAGAGGGCACAACTCTTCCTTTTCATTGAAGTGACACACATCGTATTATTCCTTCATCTACACTTCACCAAGCAGAAAAGTTCCCAAGCCACAAAACTACTTGATCTTGCTTGAACACCACGCTATTCTTTAAAAACAAAACTTCAGTGCTAGGAAGAGGGATGATGGTGATGGTGATGATGAGGATGATGGTGATGGTGATGACAGTGATGATGATGATGAATTTAGTTTAAGAATTTTTTTAGGAACAAGGAGAAAAAGTGGTCTCCACTCTCAGACTCACTTTTCCATAGAACAGTAAACTTATTCAAGAGGTGAAAAATATAGCAGCTGTATTTAGAAGGCGAATGATTCAGATTGCAGCACAATAACACAGTTCTGGAAAACACTTAAAGCTGCAGTAGAAACTAGGTGCTCACGAAGCATGAGTTTCAAAGGTAAAAAGAAAAGCCTTTCTTCCACTGCCCAGGATGTCCACCAAAACCTCATTTTGTAGTTTCAGTTTCTTTTCCCCTCCCCATGAGCCAAATAAACAAAACACCAAAGCTGTAAAACTATGACATGACTCAGGGTAAAATCTGGAAAATGGGGGAGTAAAAGAATCCCTAGTACAAGTTTGAATTTAGGATTTACCTGCTCTGATCCCAGTTGGCTGCAAAAAGGACTAGAATCTTCCTGCCATAGTGGTCCAGGTTGGCCAGGCCCCCAGGGAAGCCATCTTTCAGTGCCTGCTTGATTCCAGGGTCAGTGGCCTTGAAGCTTTTGAACATGTCCAGGTTCTGCTGCCGGTACTCAAAGTACTGGGCCAGAAGGCGGAAAGCTTCAAAGTGATGAAACTTCCTGGCCCGCAAGAAGCGTAAGATGAAGGCATCATCTGTGCGCAGAAAGCCAATGTCCGGCCTGGTGATGACCATATCCCTCACCTCCTGGATGTCCTGGTGCAATGTGTCTGGGTTCTCGTTCAGCTCCAGGCGAGCTTTCTCCAGGGTCTCAGGAGAGAGACCAGCTTGTAAATGAGTCATCGTCCCGCTTGTTCCTGAACCTTCCCTTCCTCCTGCTGACTGTCCCACAACAGACCTGGCCCTTGCCACCACCACACTCTGGCCTCCAGACCTCCCTGCCGCCTGCTTCCTCTTCTGTACAGGAAATTGTTTGTCTTGGCGTCCAGACCAGTACCCTGTTGCTCCTGCCTCTCGGCAGCTCTTTTGTGGGAGTACGAACTTCTTTTCCCACCGCCTAAAAACAACACCTCACTTTGGTTCCCTCTTCCTTTCCTTTAAAGAGCTGTGGACCTCTGGCGGGCCCAACACTCCTTGTCCTTCCTCAACCCTAACAAAACACCCCTAAGCCCACCCAGCACGGTTGGCACTGATCTTGATGCTGTCCTCTTCTCTTCCAAGATGCAACAAAAACAACCCCCACGCACATCTCAGCCCCAGCTCTGTGATGCTTCTGCGGTCCCTACTGAAGGATGCGCCTGCCAGGGATAACGATGGGAATTCTGATTAATAATAAGGTGGCTCTTCAGCGCTGAGCTCCAGGGCGGGGAGAGAGCGTCTTTGCCAGAAAGAAAAAGAGAGAAGGGGGGGGAGGAAATTATTTTCCCTTATGCTTATTTAAAGATGTTATTCTTAAAAGGCATTTGTGGGATTTTGTTTAAAATGATTATGATCCAATTAGGCGGAGACTCTGCAGATAGCGCACCTTCCCTCCTCCCTTCCTAGATACACCGTGATCTCAGAAGGCACCAGAAGGGTTTTGGTGGCGTTGGCACCAGCGTGGGCTACCCACCCCCCAGCCCCACCCGCAACTTCTGCCTTCCTCTAACCCTTTATTTCGACGGAATTATCCCGGAGGTGGAGGGGGGAGGTGGAGGGAGGAGGGGGATCTTTCCCAGAACACACATTTCAAATGCGAGGTTGGGGGCGGGGGGCGGGGGGAGAGAAGGTAGAGAAGAGGAGTGGAGGAT